GGCACGTCCCACCGGGAGGAGGCCCCGAGGAAGACCCAGGACACGCTGGAGGGACTATGTCTCTCGGCTGGCCTGGGAACACCTTGGAGTTCCCCCAAAGGAGCTGGAAGAAGTGGCTGGGGAGAGGGAGGTCTGGGCCTCCCTTCTGAAGCTGCTGCCCCCGCGACCCAACCCCGGACAGGCGGAAGAAAATGGATGGATGAATGGATGGATGGATGGATGGATGGATGGAAGGAACTTACAATGTGTTAACATTTTTAAGACCTCTGAAACAAATTTAAGTCTTTTTAAGGCTAATTATGGTCTTATTTTTACATTGATTAATTCAATGCCCTTTATGACTTTTTAAGGATCTGCAGAAAGCCTGTATAAGATTTATTACCAGAAAGCATTGTTACAACAAAGAAATAATCAACAAACACTAATTTGCTTACTTTCCCTGCTAAATATAGTTTACATCAGCCTGCTAAAAGGGAGGCACATTTAAAACAGCAGTAGCTGCCAAAGAAAGTTTAAACAATTTTTTAATGTAAAGAATGAACATTTATCAACATTTATGTWTAAATGATGCTTTTTATAGTCAGATATATGGACCCCCATCAGAAAACAGAACCAAATATAAGTATCAGTGCACTAACCTTACAATTGCAAACATCCACAGATATTAAGATCTTAATGCTTTTGAAACAAAAACAGATTTTAAGAATTTTTTAATAACTCAACAGATAAGACGTAGTAATAAGCAATAATAAGCTATAACTCACTTCAAGTCCTACATAAATAATAGTTGAATAAAAGTATAGAGTATAGTAAAAAAAAATACATACTTTGTTTTCTGTAAGTCTTCAGTGAAGATGAAAAGAAGAAAACAGATGTGCAGTTTTAAATGTTGGTTTATTAATTGGCATTTTCTTAAGTAAAATTGACAAATATTATTGCTAAATAAATACTCGGCTCCATCACTCGGTTAGTGGGGAAATAAAYGCAAGAAAAATCATTTTATTTGTGCAAAAGTTGCTTCCATAATGATGGGATTATGCATTTCAAAATGACTATAAAGCAGAACTTACAGAGCTGTGCAAAGGCAATCCATAACGTTTTCTTAACCCTTCAGTAAAGTAAAGTAAAGTTAAGTTTGGGAATTTCCAAACATGAAGCTATAAAGTTACATATGAGAAGGAAAAACAAAGTTGAAATGCTTCTGGTCCTGAAACCGAGGCAGTCAGACCTCCTCGTGCGCCGGATCTCTGCAACCCAATTATTCCCTCTAATGAGAACATTTTCCCTCCTAAAATAAACTGGGAATATTTTTGCATTCATTTAAATTTTTTACACGAAGCTGTTTTTAAAAAACCCACAAGCCTTGCAACRATATTCATGACGGTTGATGAACTCGGATTTAGATTACCATAAAAGTCTAAAAATAGTTTGCTCCAACTCCATAACTGACCTCGATGTTCTTGGATTTAATGGTTTAAATCTAAACGTTAGGCCTTACGCGTTAAGCCTGCATGTTCAAGTGTTTGTCTCTGAATGTTTCTGATTCACATCAAAGAATAAATTCAGCTTTTGATTCTTGATTCTGTGTGGTTCAGTCAGGGTCTGCTCTGGCCTCACAGCATCATGAGTCGTACTGAAGTGTGACAAATGGAGGCACTCTCACTCACTGCAGATTGTGAAAAAAATAACTTTTCTTGCTGCATTTCTTCCTAATATTTAACATTATAAAAGAAATTGCAAAGACCTTCAGTGGAAAATTTAGATGCCATTTGTCACTGGCTGCTCTAATTTTGGGTGAGATGAAGCAAAAATAAAACTTCGTTTAAAAAAAATCTATTTCTAAACGATTACATGTTGGATCAGCGTATTCAATGGAACATCACGGCCTCTAAAGGACACTCACGCTATGAATAAAACATTTTAAAATTCACTAAATGAACCTTCTTCTACTTTCATAATAATGTTCAGAGTTTGGGTTATATAAGCAGCTCAAGCAACAACTCGATTAACAAAACATGAAGGCTGAATTAAATGCAGAGATTAGCGATGGTTACGCAGCTCTAACCCAGAAAGACGTCTCCGTAGAAGCACTGACCCCCGGCCTTTTTGTCCCCGGACTCATCCACGTACTCGGGGAAGTGCGACCCCACGCAGACGTTCACCGCTTCCTTCACCTCCGCCGGCAGGGTCCGGCGCTTCTGAGCGTGCTCGGTCAGAGCCTCTTGATTGAGCTGCRGACACAGAGGCCGAACGGTGCAAGACCCTAAATAAACTGTTGCTTGAAAGGATTTCTGCACACGAGTTATGAAAGAGAGTTGGCAATCCAGGATGGATTGCTTTTAATCAGGATTTTTTAATTGAATATGTCTCAATACCCGCCTTGTGTTGAAAATTTGATTCTGCATTGTGCAGAATTTGACAAACATTTTGAACCGTGTTGACTCCAAAAGTTCATCTATTGTAAATCTACACCCAGTGATTACTTCCTACAGTTTTCATTAAAATGCATTAAGTGGTTTATGAGATATTTTTCTCAGCAGACACTCACACATTATGATCCATATTTGCCTTTCAGCAGCAGATGATAAACATTACCTCACATTATGTTATCCTCATTATTAAGCTCATGATTTGTTTTTTTATCCTCACTTGAATTCCTCCCACAGCTTCTCACTACATCAAATATTGTACTTGGACGCTAATACTATTATTGAGCCATCCATCCATCTGGCATTAGCACGTCAGCGTTGAAACCGTTTTACACCTTTTTTCTTAACACTAACTGCCAAGATTTCTCCAACTCAAAGGAGAGTGTTGTAATTATAATATATATATTTGAGACTCTGACATCATCTCCAGCTGTGGGAGCTCGGAGTGCTGTTTCCTGGATGTGTCACTCTGCAGGATTACGCAGAACATGGTAAACACACAGATGGCCACAGTTCAGCATCCGTTTGAAAACTTGGGATGTGTTTTAGAAAAATCTGAAACAGATCTYTAAGGCCAAACTAAGGTTGATTAGTTGAACTGGGTTAAATTATTGGGTTTATGAGTTTTAGAGGTACGACCAATATTTGAGTTCTGAGATTTTCACTAAAATCTGTTGGTGGGCACAGCTAACCAAAAAAAAAAAAAAACTGGCCTCACTAAAAAATACTGTGGAAGCTAACACTAACAGCTAATTGCTAACCACTAAGACAACTGTAACTCGGTCTGTGTCACACTACTTCGTCTACTTCCAACTGAAGACTGGTGGGACTGACACAAACCTGTTCATGTTAGCTTGTTAGTTAGCTGTTAGCAAACCTWAAGTTGGCAAAAATCTAATTTCGTGGAAGCTAACTGGTCCGCTAAATGTTTTTAAATTTAGTGAAAAGGCTTTAGCAGAAGCAGAGGTCTATAAAGTACATGAAAAAAAATAACTAAGTAAAAGTAAAATAACATGAACAGAAAATGGTTTTGGTAAAAATGAATTTCACTGATGAGAAAACTACTCAAGTAAAAGTCATAAAACTGTTCACAAAAATTGGGAAAGTAAAATTAAAWGTAAAAATACTTTACACACTCTTTAAGAAATAAACTGTTGAATTTACTGAACCAAACTGGTTCCACTAAGTCAGGTTGCGTAAATTGAGCAATACATTTATATTCTTTACTCAGTTTACTCAACTAGGCTCAGTGGAGCCAGTTGACAGGACTTTGTTGAGTAAATTCAACACTTAATTTTTTAGAGTGCAGAAACATCTTTTATGATGAGTTCCAACAWATTTAATTTGTTACGAGTAGGTGTTACATTTTAAAGAAGTAAAAGTATAATTTTAGCTTTAAAATTTAACAAAATAAAAGTAAAAGTAGCCATTTAAAAAAACTGGTAAAATTACAAATCCTCAAAAAACTATTTAAGTACTGCAACGAAGTAAATGTGCTTAGTTACTATAAACCTCTGAGCAGAAGCTAACTGGTCCGCTAACAGTTTTCAGAGTTAGTAAAAAAGGCTAATCCGGTAACTAATAATGCTAAATATGTCAAAAAAAATTGTGGACCTAAGATTAAGAGCTAATCGCTAACCGCTAAGACGACTGTCACTCAGTCTGCGTAATGTCTGTCTCCTTCCAGCTGAAGACTGGTGACACAAACCTGCTGATCTTAACTCCTACCCCACCAAATTATTACACAATATCTGTAAAATTAATAGAATTATAACCATTATCTGTTTTCTAATGTCATTTGTCATGTTTTAACAGATGAGTCAAGATCAATCGAATTTAGATAATTAGTAAACAACTAGTGAACTACTGAAAGTTTTAAAGATACAATTTTTTTAGAAGAAGAGGTGGATGAAGCTGAGTGATTTAATTAAATGCAAAGATTAAAGACTGTTCCTGGTTTTGCCCCCTCACTTCTTTTGAAAACATAAATTGTGAAAGGGGACAAGAACGAGGCACATCGATCGTACCTGATTAGTTAGGACCTTGATGTCCTCCAGAGTGGCAGCTTGTTTCTTCATCAGAGCCTCTTGTTGTGGACTGTAGTCAGACTGTAACACAGTAAAGTACAAAACATCTCACTTCTGAGAAACATTATCGACCTGTGGTTTCCAGTCGGCGTGAACATGTTTGTGCATGAGAGGCATACAGACTGTTGGTTTGCCTCTAAGTATTTTGTCTCATGTTTCTCCCTGTGAGCTGATGCTGATGCACCCGTGGGATGCAAGCTGAGCGGCAGGATCGATGCGGCTAAGTCGCAGGTTTTGTCTTCGGTGAGATTTGTGCACTCAAACTCTCGATACCAAGACGCTGCTGATTGAACAAGTGGTTGTGTTACATAAGGACGTKGTAATTAATGGATATATGCTGATTAGCTTGATTAACTTGAACAGGAGCGTGACCCAAAAGCGAGGACGGGTCAGGGAGGTTTTCTGCCACCCAGCTGGAGTCGAATGTGGAAAAGCACAGTGATATGGCATTAGTCATTAACACATCAGATACATCGGGTCTGAATCCTAATGAGCTGACAGAGGAACAGGAGCTGAGCTCAGTGAGTCATCATCGACCACACGTGGATTAACTTGTTCCCAGAAAACAGATACTGAGTAACGGGTGAGCCTGGCCCGTGGTGAGGAGCTGCTGCACTTTATTTACTGGATTAAAACAGCGTATCGGGGACTTATTGTCGGTAAAAGAAAAAAAACTAGTGCATTTTTATACACGTGTGGGTTTACTTACATTTAAACGGTGTGTGTGTGTGTGTGTGTGTGTGTGTGTGTGTGTGTGTGTGTGTGTGTGTGTGTGTGTGTGTGTGTGTGTGTGTGTGTGTGTGTGTGTGTTCCTGAAAGCAACAAGTGGGTTCTGCATGTAAATGTGTTGTTCTAACATGCCCAAAGTCGTATTTTTTATATTCAAACCTTTAAACATTTTGTTGGCATTGCCACATCTGGTGCTGTTACTAATGTGAGGTGTAGGCAGGATAAACCCAGGGCGCAGGCAAAAATCCAAAGTTTAACAAAAGATTTATTAATAAAATAAAAAGGCTGGCAGGGCAGCTCAAAAACTCTCTGGAGAACAGGAACACAGAGACCACCACAATGGCCATGTAAACAGCACAATGAACGGACACAGGCTGAGGACAAGACACCAAATATAAAGGCAAACAAATTAAGAGACAAATCGGAAACACCTGGGGAGACACAAGAGGGATCAGGTGTGCGTGGGCGGGGCTGTAGGGCAGAGCAACACAGGGGAACATTGAAAACACTAGAAAGTTAAAGAAAATAAACACAGACCATGACAACGAAATTTTGTTTATTATAAATAAATATGGTAAACTAACACAGAGGTTCTCAAAATGGGGTCCCAGGACCCCYGKGGGTCCACAAATCTCATATTGGGGGTCCTCAAAAGGTTTCCATAAATTATTAATTTGGATTTTATTTAAAAAAGGAATATGGGGAACAATGCACTAAAACAAACATACTAAATCAAACAAAAATAATAATATTCCCATAGTATTTAGGTGTTAAAATGACAGTAAGTTATTTCTAAAGCAGCATGTGGTTTATATGAGGGGAAATTTTTCACACTTGGGGGTCCCCAGACCCAAAAAGTTTGAGAACTCCTGAACTAACAGTTGTTGCTAATTGTGTGAAAGCTGTTAGAATTCACATTGTTTTCTTGTTTGGAGCTTGTTATAAATGTGTTATTTGTGCTATTGGAACTTATAGGAACTCAGTTAGACTTTTTTGTATTTTAGCTTTTTGAAACTTTAATTTAAAACAAAATTCATTCAAACTATTCTTCAACTATTCTTTCTTCAAACTATTGTTCTCTTTGCCTGCTTCAGCGTAGCTGTTTCTCTATTGCTGCCTTCTTATGCAACATTTAACTACAAATTTATCAACTTTTAGCAAATAATTTACCTTTTAGCTATCATTTGCTACTTTTAGCTTTTAGTTAGTATTATACTACTTTTAACTACTATCTTGCTACTTTTAGCTTTTAGTTAGTATTATACTACTTTTAACTACT